GTGCCTGAATGGAACTTTGGGGGTGTTGTTCGTGCAAAAGGTATGAATCAGTACTACACGTTGGAAGACAGGTGTGTGGGTATTTGGACGGCTGAAAGGACAAGTTTGCTTTTGTGGTGGCTTGCTTTTTCTCTTCCAACAGTCTCCCCTTCTTCGATAGAAGATATCTTTCGTTGCAGTGTGCTGGCATGTCCTGACTGAATTAAAGTTTATTCAGATATTAGAACCTTTATTTTCAGGCCAGGCAGGTAAGGCCTGGCTTGTGTAGAGCCTCTGGCCAGAAGCAGCCCTGCCCTTTTGCCCCATTGCGCCATTATCAGGGAATGGTTGGGGTGCTAAGAAGGTAGCATCAAACCACTCTCACTTCTGAGACCAATTACAAGTTTGTGGGATTCCCCAAACCATCCTCAGTTTCAATCGTTCACTGGAGAGTCTCACAGAACTCACTAAAAGCTGTTGTACCCATAGTTACAGTTAATTAGAACAAAAGGATACAGATTAAAATGAGCCAAGGGAAGAAGTACAGAGGGCAGAGTCCGGGAAAGTACCCAAAGTGGAGCTTCCATTGTCCTCTCCCTATGGAGTCATGGGCAGCGTACTCCCTTGGCATCAATGAGTTGGCAACATACACAGAGTGCTGCCAACCAGGGAAACCCATCCAAGCTCTGGGACCAGAGTTCTGTTGGGGCTCCATCATGTATTTGTGCTGGTTTCCCATATATATGATCTCAGTCCCAAGCCCCACTTGAACCTCAACTACTACCTCATGATCCAAAGACCCCATCCTAAACGACCTTAAATCACATGGACTTGGTCACAAGGCAGTCCCCAGTCTACACACTCCCGTGGAGCTTGACAACCTATTGGAAATGGAAGGCAAGGGCCAGACTGCTATCTGGGCAAGGTTAAAGTCTCCGGCACAGAGATGCACTCTTCTGCAACAATAGAACCCCAATTTCTAACTGAGCACAAAGTATCCAGAATCAAGAAACCCAACCTCCACCAGAATCCCAAACTCCCATGCATCTAGTTGTGACCATGTGACTTAATTTTACCCCAATTCTAGGCAACAGGATGTAAGCATACTTCTGGGAAGTATCATTAAATAGAGGAGCTTGTTCTCTTCCCCCTTCTTTCGTTTTGCTGCCTAGATGGGGCTTGAAGAGCTGTCTTGGCTCATAAGGTGAAGCTTCATGGTGAGGATGTGAGAAACCAGGTAGAAGGAACCTGGGCTCCTGTTGGTTGGGGCACCCTTCACACAACTGTTTAGAGAAAATATTTGAATCGTGTTTAAGCCACTGTTACTTTGGGTTTTCTGTCATTTGCAGCAGGACCTAATTTCAGCATTTGCTTGAAACTTACTCTTTTTTTTTTTAAAACTTACTTTTATATTGCTTACATATAGCTTTGTAAAACTCTATGCCCACTGGTTACTAGATTCATCTTTAATCTAAATCACCCATGTGCTATCAGATCCTTCCTGGTCATTGCCTCTCTGTGTCTGGACTAGATCCTGCCTCCCCCCAACCCTGGCCTTTCGTTCTAAGCCTGTATCACACACAGGCACTTTATTTTCCATTTTCAGCTGAGGACAGGAAGGAACTGTTTTCTGATTATATGATCATCATACTTTCCATGACTAATGAAATTGGAGATTTGACTTAACACCTAAACTTTGTATCTAAACTTTGAGGTCAATTTTCTTGATACGCCTTTTTAAAATTGAAGAACAGATTATTTGTTTCATGAAAATAAAGACTTATAGATCTTTCTAAGACCTGATATTTGAATTTTATCAAAACATACCAGGGTTCCCTATGCCCAGTTGCTTCACATCATGTATTCAGAAGGCAGGATAAACACCGAATCTCCAATTTTTATGTTTTTGGTGTTCTGTTGTCCTTTGTTATGAAGAACATCCTTTGTTCTTCATAAAGACTTTATCACAGCTTTTGCAGATATCTGAGAAATAATCATTAAAACCTAAAAGATGAACAAATACTACTTTTTACATAAAAAAGACAGGGATTTTATCCTTCCTTTATTTAAGAACCCAGTGTGGATGTCATATGACCTCTGTCACCATCTTCATGGTTTATCAGTCTTGGAGGTTGGAGGAGGACAGGAGAAATAACACTAAAACTCCAAAGTCTCACTTCTAATTTGCCTATGTTAATGACTTGATTTCTCATTCTCACGGTAGAAAGGGTATGTGTGTGTGTGTGTATATATATATATAATATATATATACACAAAACACAAAAGTTAGGGGCACCTGGGTGGCACAGTCAGTTAAGCGTCTGACTTGGTTTCAGCTCAAGTCGTGATCTCAGGACCATGGGATTGAGCCCCTCGTGGGGCTCTGCGCTCAGTGCGGAGTCTGTTTAAGAGTCTCCCTCCCTCTGCCCCTCCCCATTCCTCCCCCTCAAATAAATCAATCTTTAAAGGGGGTTGGGTCAATAACCCCCCCCAAAAAAAGAAACACAAAAGTTAATTTTCTCATTACTACTCAGGCAAAAATTAATGTTTAAAACCTCAATACATATCAATGACATGTTTGTTAACTTTGCTCCATCATAAACCCAAGGAAAGAAAAAAAATGTGTACCACCTGAAGACTGGAAAAGTCATAAACCCTTAGGAGGGTTACCTAACAGTAATTATTAGACAAGGGCTTGCCAGGGATTTGTTTCCTCAGTGAAAAAGGCCTCATGGAATTTTCTTGCTGAAAAGAACCTAAAAACTTATCGCCACAAGTGTCCTCCTTTTCTAAATGAAACAGCCGAGACCCTGGGGAAATCAACACTGATGCCAAAGATCACCCTCCTAATTAACAGCAAAGCCAGAATCAGCACCCAGGTTGTTCTGGCTCCTGGATCAGAGTTCCTTCGGAACATGCTGTGTCCCCTCCATGACGGTACAGAAGTTTCCTACCATCAAGGTTAAGATGAAAGATCTCATAAGCTGCAGATGCACCTTCACTAAACAATTGGATCCACTTAACTCATGCTCTTCGGAATGGAAAGAAACTTGTATTCGGACGGAGCAAAAGATTTCTGTCTCCAGAATAATTCAGAAACTATTTTTCTGCCAAACCCAACCAAAGAAAGAACATGTAGGTTTCCAAAGTTCATCAGCAAACACGGATCACTTGAAGAATAACACCAAGGTCGTATTTCCTCCTAAGATGGTACATGCTTGAAGATGAGAATTACTCAGCTTCCCATCTCCAACTGCACCTAGCCCATAGTTGCTGCTAAAATTTCTTTTTAATAAAGGAAGTATATAAATCATTGCTTTATACCCTGGCATTGTGCCCTTTTCAAAGAAAAGAAAGCACTTCATAAACATGTGTCTAATTTCCTGTGCTGTCAGAAATATTGTTTAATCATACTGTTAAAAATAAAGACCTTCAGGGCCCACTGAACTAAATTCTCCAAACCACTAGATACTCTTTCCTCTTTGGGCCACTCAGCTGTGCAGCCGGAAATGGATCGTGGGGGGAGAGTGGCAGCTCTTCTGCAAATACCCCGGAATGTGGGCTATGTCAGAAAGTGTTTGGAGAATGCCTCCAAAGCTGAGAAAGTATTTCCAAAGCAATACACACAGAAAGATATTTGAACCAGAGGCTATGCACTCCAAAATAGATGCATGGAGCACATTCACAGAATATCACATTTTTATCACGTTTAGGAGCTGCAGTCCATTCCTGTGAATCCAAGAATTAAGGTAATTATAAAACAGGTGTGCCACAGACTGGTATGCTTGCAATAGATCATGTAGTTTTACATGGATCTTCCTATACAGTAAAATACATACAAAATTGTGATTAAGCTCACAAGCATATTATAAATCTTACCTGATCAATGACATTAGCAAGTTTCAGAAAAAACCTGCATTCAACAATTACATCCTATAAAAGACGTGCAATGTTTTTTCACTGAAAAATAGGTATCATCAGTTGAAATCTGAGAACACGAGTTGAGTGTTGAAGCAACATTCCGAAAACTATCCTCTTGTGTTCTCTGCCAGCTACCAGAATTGAAATGATCTGCAGGTTTCCTCTCCCCTGATGGCACAGAGACAGCAAAAAATTGTCTAGGTTTGGAGTTTCTAGTCATACAGAAGTTCCAATTATAACAATGTGAAAACATTTTAAATTAAGGCCTTAAAATAATCCACCCAATGGAATACTACTTGGTAATGAAAAGGAATGAACTACTGATCTACACAACAGCCTGGGATGGACCTCAGAAGCATTTCGCTAAGTGAAAGTAATCAGACACAACACTATATAGTGTATGAGTCTATTTATAGAAAATTTCTATAGATCAGTGCTAGATCAGTGGTTGCCTGGGGCTGCAGGTGGGATCAGGGAGTGACTGCCAACAGGTGAAGGGAGCCTTTTGGATGGGTGGAAGTGTTGGAAAATTGGATTCATTCATAATATATATGTAAATACAGAGATTCGCTAAAATGCATCTACTATATCCTCCCAATGGGTGAGTTTATGGTATGTGAATTTTTTCAAGCAAACTCTGTGCCCAACATGGGACTCCAACTCATGACCACGACCCCGAGATCAAGAGTCTCATGCACTACCGACTGAGCCAGCCAGGCACCCCTATGGTATTAAGTTACATCTCAATAAAGCTGTTTTTAATTTATTGTTTTAATTATTATCATTTTAAAAGATTTATTTATTTATCTTAGAAAAAGAGAGAGCACGAGCAGGAGGGGCAGAGGGAGAGAGAGAGAGAATCTCAAGCAGACTCCACACTGAGCGCAGAGCCTGACGAGGTGCTTGATTTCATGACCCTGAGATCACTAACTGAGCCAAAACCAAGAGCAGACACTTAACCAGCCACCCTATTATTATTTATTAAGAAGGCTCCATGCCCAACATGGGGCTCGAACTCATGACTTTGAGATGGAGAGTCACATGCTCTACCAACTGGGCCAGCCAGGCACCCCAGCACCATTGCAAGTTTGAAGCCCCTGAGGGGTTGCCCTGTTCCTGGAGGCACTGCAATACCAGCTCAATGCATGGAGTGGATGGAGCAAGCTCTATTCCATCTCCCTGCTCCCCAAATCCATTTAATATATTGTCCTTGGATAAAGGACATATCAGATATTAAACTGATAAGAACAGATGCTAGATCTTAGCCAAAAGGCTAAGAATAAAGCTGTTTTTTAAAATAAGAAATGGGGGACGCCTGGGTGGCTCAGTCGGTTAAGTGTCTGCCTTCGGCTCAGGTCATGATCCCAGGGTCCTGGGATTAAGTCCCACATCGGGCTCCCTGCTCAGCAGGAAGTCTGCTTCTCCCTCTGACTCTTCCCTCTGCTCTTGCTCTCTCTCTCTCAAAAAAAAATAAAATAAAAATCTTAAAAAAAATTAAAAAATAAAATAAGAAATGGTTTTTCAGGACCAGCCCAAGATGACTTTATACCCCCAGGTTGCCTCAACTGTAATCCCATGGTAGCTATTATACTTTCCACACGGGAGACTCTCTCCCAATCAGGGCGCTTTGACATACGAATCTAGATACCGTTATATCAAACCAGGCTTGGTGACATTTAAAAATTAGAATTTACAGTTTCTATGTAAACATAATTATTATTTTGTTAGCCAACTCACAGTACCAATGCCATGGTCAAGACTGTGAATACATTATTGAATCGAGGGAAGCAAACAAACCACTTCCCTAATCTGGGGCGACGGTGGCATGACTGGGAGCCCAGGAGAGCTTCGTGAGCTTTTCTTGAACCAGGCAGCTGTTAGGGCAGCTCCTAGGGCAGGAGGAGAGGTATTCAGGGTGTAGACTTAAATGTCTCCACTAACAACTGTGGTATGCTGCCTACACACATCTCCATCACCACAGAAATGTAGGGAAATTATATTAGGAAAATTCATCTTGTTTAAAGGCACAGGAATGAATGGAATATTCTGGGGTCAACTTGCCTAATGTTTCTGCTCAGAGCAAGTGGTCCTCAAACTTGGGTGTGTATCAAAATCTCCTGACTTGTGAAAAAGGCAGATTCCCAGGCCAGGCCCCAAGGCTGCCAAATTGAACGTCTAGGAACAAGAGCTAGAGTCTGAATCTTGAAGGAGGCTTTGAAGTGATTTGTGCTGATAGTCCTCAAAACACAGATGGAGAAACACTGAATAAAGAAGGAGAGAGAGGGAAGGAAAGCGAGCAAGAAAGTAGTATAAAAAAGGAATGAAAGGAGGGAGGGATGAAGCAAGGAAGGAAGGAAAAAGAGAAAGAATAAGGAGTAAGGAATAAGGAGGGCCCAGCGAAGAAGATGAAGATGAACATACCTAGTCAGGCCTTGCCTTAAGCACCTCGGCTGAATTTAGTCTTTGATTCTTTCTAGACCTCTAACTTTGTCTCATCTCTACATCTCATACTGTGCCTTCGTCTTTACCTGCCTCTTAGCCTTGCTTTCAGATCCCGTGGTGGACAGGGGACCTAGTTTTAAAAGGTTTTCTCTTGCGACCCCCTAGCCATGGAACAAGACCCAGCTGGAGGCAGACTAACCCTAGCTTGCTCACTGGCCTGTAGGGTGGTTCTCACTTTGGGATTACTGGATAAAAAACTTGCTGGGGAGTCTGTGTTCTAAAACCTTCAGGGAGAGAAGCACAGAGTTGGCTGAATTTGATAACCCAGCCCAGAACGGAACCCCTTCCCTAGTGAGGACACCTGTCCACTGTTGCATGGGGAGAGAGGAATGCCCCCCTGCCTGTGAGACCCTACACACAGTGATCCACCATTGACTACTTAGTTCCAGAGATGCTTCTGCTCTCAGTCTTCCTTGGCAACAACAAAGCCCGTGAGCAATGGCCCTTAGCTTTCTCTGGAAGATTCTGACTCCTCACCAGACCACATGGGTAAACTTTGACAGCCATATTTGAGACATGTGACCCACCCCCTCAGTCACTGCTGACTGGACCAAGAGTGGACACTTAACCCAAACTGGCCCAATCAGAGCCCCTTTTTCTGGAAACTTGCAATTATAACTAAGATATTCCCATCCCAGTGTTGGCTGGTTTCTTATACAGAGAAGTAGAGAAAATTCAGGGGCTTGAGCATAGCTTTTTCCCACACATGAAGAATGAAATATAGGTGAGAGAGAGGAGAGGTGTATGATGGAGAGGGTCCCCCTGGGGTGACTCCATCCCATTTCCCAGTTCAGATCACTTCTGAGCCCCTGCTGACCTCCTGCACTTCGGTTCCATCAGATGCTCCAGTATCACTGAAATAAGGGTCCTTTTACGGTTTATTCCAGCTCTGACCTGCAGTCAGTGCCCTCACTAATCCAGGTATCATCCAGGTACGATCACATGTCCCTTTGCCTATCTCTATCCTTGTTTTAACTCGAATCCCTTCCTTCTATAGACAGGAAGGCAGACCATTTTGTCCTCCTTATGGTACAAAATGAGAGCTTTCCTCAAAAACTGATTTGGTGTGAATCACTGACTATAATATAATCTGTTGACTGTGTTTGAATTTATAAAATTATTATTCATTATTAGGTGCAAAATGGAACTATGGATTTGTTTTCTTTAAAAAAGAATCATTGGAGTGCCTGGCTGGCTTAGTTGGAGCATACAACTCTTGATCTCGGGGTTGTGGGCTCACAGCCCACATTGGGGGTAGAGATTACGTAAATATAAAAACTTTAAAAAATAAAATAAAATAAAAAGTGAAAAAGAATCCTTGTCAGCGTGCCTGGCTGGCTCAGTCGGAAGAGCATGCAACTCTTGATCTTGGAGTCATGAGTTAGAGCCTCACATTGGGAATAGAGATTACTAAATAAATAAATTGAATAAATAAAACAAAAGAATCAGAATCCTTGTCTTTTAGAGTTCCACTGAAATATTTATGCCTGAAATTATATGACGTCAGGATTTGCTTCTAAACAATACTGGAGGGCAGGAAGTAGGTGAGGGCATAGATAAAACAAGGCTCACCTTGAGCTGATAATTGTTGCATATGGGTGACTTGGGTTCATCATACTAGTCTGTCTACTTTTGCATATATTTAAATTTTTCCATAATAAGAAACTCTAAAAATAAGGATGGAAATTTTTTCAGGGGAATACCTCTGAAATAACATGAAACTATCAACATTCAAAAGTAAGAAGAAGCTTCTTAAATTAGCGATCTAAAAGTAAGACTCTGAAGTCAGTCACCCATAGCAGGAGGGGGTCTCATGCAGCAGTAGCTAGTATGTGAATAAAAACATGCCATGTGCTTATGACCCCATTCCCTTGAATGAAAATAGCATCTTGTGTTCAACTCATCTCTGATGATACCATCCAAAATAAAATAGTCTAAGATCTATAGATTTCTTTTAAATTTAAACAAACTACATATAACTATATACTTAGGAGTTTTGCATGTCCTCCTTGCACAGAGACCATGCTAATCTTCTCTGGATCGTTCCAATTTTAGTCTATGTGCTGCCAAAACGAGCACGATATACTTAGTAGTTTTTATTTTATTAAAAATTATTTGGTGAATTTAAGAGTAAGAAACATCGCTCAAAGTAAAACATTTTCCAAATAGGTTGAAAACATGTATCAGAAAATAAAGCATGTTGAGAATTCTCCACCGTCTCCATAAAGCTCACTGTGTCTGTGCTACCTTATTTCGAGGAGTGAGTAGGAGGGAGGAGGAGGGAGAATGCTTGTTGAGTATTCAAGAGAGGCTGATGATTCTTTATATATTCATTATGGTTAAGAGTGTCTTTTCGGGGGGTGTGGATCCGAGGAGAAATATTTAGTTTTTCCTTTTAAGTGTGTTGTCCATTTCACCCCCATGCCAACCCATTTTCAAGGGAACCAAAGTATATTCTCTGTCAGAGGACCCAAGGGGACCAACCGCTCCTTGCATGACCCATTGCTGTCTTGATTTTATGATTACTCTCACACTGTGGACACATTTGGGGGCCCACTTCTGAGACCAGAAGTCCCCAGCTTCCCTTTTAGCCTCGGAATGTCCCTTCCTTTATCATTGGTGGTGTCTCTTTGCTCCATCAGTCCCACTTGCTCCTTTTTTCCATCCACAGCTTCCCAGATCGAGGGTGGTGCTTACTTTGATTGGACTTTTGCAACACTACACTCCTGATGGGTCTTTCCATGGTAGGCTTTTGCTCTGATAACACATGTGTACTCAAAACAATGCATTCTATGGTCTAAGTTGTGGCTTTGTTGGTTGCAAAGACTAAAGACCCACTCTCTACCTCATGGAAACAAGAAGTCATTTTAAGGACATTTTTTTCATCAAAATGCATCAAGACTAAAAAACAAAACCATTTCTCCTTTCAAGAACTTAACGACCCCCTTCATTACATCTTCAGGTGTTCATGAATTAAATGAAACTAAAGCTTTAGAATTACAAGGATGGCATTTAAAAATCTTTTTGTTAATATGAAATATTCACACCACAAAAAAATAAGGCAAATAATATAGCTGAATCAATAAACCAATCAATAGCTGGCATCATTTTTCCACAGTGAATATTTTTTTTATAGACATGGTAATATAAATAAGAAGTAAAACCTAGATCAGGCCTCCCATCATTTCTCATCCTCAAGCCAAGCTAAATTTTAGTTAAATTGTGAATTTCAGACCTTAAAATAATGTTTTAAAGAAATTTAGATATGTAAAATATTTAAGTATATTAAATATTTAAATTTTTATTTAAATATTTAATAAAGAAATTTAAATATTTTAAAGAAAAATAGGAAGGCTTTTCAACCAAAATTTCTTCTATGGGTTGTATTTCTGTAGATGTTACTGGCTTGAGACAAAGTTTAATATTGTTATACATAATTTAATTGTTTAAGACTAACACAGTAAAATTGCTGAAGGTCAGACATAAAAATTTTGTGTCACCTATTTAGTATGTTTGGACAATAACTTCAGATATTAAATAAATGGCTTTTGAATATTTTGGTCTAGGACCCTCAAAAAGAAATACATTTTATAAATCTATGCAGTAAACCCTGAGGTGAAAGTTATACAAGACAATATTTAACTTTTTACCTAAATATTCTGACATTTTTCTATTACACTCTGTCTTTTGTTTAAGGTTTTGTTATAAACCACACAGCTGACTTCATAAACCACTTAAACAAAATGATGTGCGATTTGGAAAAAATTGCTTTATTAACAAATAATGACATAGAAATTTTAGTGATAACAAACACCCACGTAGCCACTGCATGCCTTGAAAAATTCTAACGTTTTGCCATATCTGCTTTAGATTATTTTTTAAATTAAAATATTGTAGCTAGATTTAAAGGCTTCCGGGTACCCCTCCCTAGTCTAGTATATCCGCCTCCTTCCCAGAGGCAAGGACTATTCTGCATTTGGTGATTGTTGTCCCCATACATGTTTTTATATAATTACTACAATGTATGGATCCATATATAACAATACTGCATGTAAAAATACATTGCAATATATAACGTTGGTTTTCATGTTCATGAGTTTAGAACAAACGTTATCATAGTATCCTACAACTTACTTTGTTCCTAATTTTATGTTTTTAAGATTTACCCATACTGGTATAATGCTCTAGTCCATTCAGCTTAACCGCTATGGTATTCCACTGTCTGAGTAGTCCCTGCTTTACTATCCATTCTCCTGTTAATGGGTCTTCAAGTTGCTGACAATATATTATTATTAAAAATAATGTTGCAAAAATATTTTTGTACATGTCTCATTCTGTACCTATCTAAAATTTTCCTGGGATATACACACATTAGTGGAATGGCTGGATCATAAGCTTTACCATATATTCCTATAAGTTGCTCTGTAAAGCGACTGACACTCCTTCTAGATAACCGTGTATGAGAGTTGCCACTCTGCTACATTTTCAACAATCTCACAGAAGGTTGCCTCTGATCTGGTCATCAGCTGTGCCTTCAATAGGACCATTCCAATTTCTCTCAGGCCAACTGCTTCCGGACGGTGTGGTTCGTGATTCTATCATTGGATTCCACGTTCCTGGGTCCACACTGTACCTCCTTTGCTGTAAAGTAGGTTCCTGATTGGATCCATTGTATTCCCAGATAGTGGTGCAGGCTGGGGCTTGTCAGCAGAAAGTGTGAACCCATCATATTCAGGATAAAATCTGTACTGTGAGGAGGAATCATGCAGGTGGACAGGACCCAGTGCAGACAACTTGCCCTAGAAGATTGGCTGCTCTTATGGAGGAATTGGCCTCTGTTGCTGGCAGTTGGACATTTAGAAGTCGAAATAGCTAGATTGGACTCACATAGACTCCGTATGTGCAAGGGGCACTCTTATTCAGATTCCATTGCTATGGATTGAATGTATCCTCAACATTCATACGTTGAAGACTAGTCCCCAGTATAATGATATTTGGAGGTGGGGCCTTTGACAGGTAATTAGGTGATAAGGTTGGAGCCCTTAAAATGGGATTAGTGCCCTCAAAAGACAAGACACGTGAGGGCTTTCTCTCTCTCTTTCTCTCTACCCTGTGAAGTTCTGACAAGAAGATGGCCTTCAGCAGACACTGGATACACAAGTGCCTTGATCCTGGACTTCTAGCTTCCAGAACTGTGAGAAGTAAATTTTTGTTATTTAAGCTACTCAGCCTATGGTAATTTGTTATAGCAGTTGAAACTAACTAAGACACTCATCACACCTGTTGGAATGACCAGTGACAAAGGCTCTGTAATATCAACAAGCTGAGTAATTTTGTTGGACTTGGTTGTTTAGTGTCTCCTCTGTGGTGGACAATTTCTTCTTTCTTTTTTTTCCCCTCACAGCATTATTGAGGCATAACTGGTTGGACAATAAACTCTAAATATTTAAAGTATAAAATTTTATTTGTTTTAACCTAAGTATATATCCATCGAAACCATTACCACAATCAAGATAATGAACTATGCATCACTCCTAAAAATTCCCTTGTCCTCTTTTTAATCCCTTCCTCCCACCCACCTAAAACATTCTGAGAGACACTTGTCAGAATATGATTGTTGAAGTACAATATGACTCAAATAAACAGTTCAGAGAAACCACCTGCTTTTCCATACTCCTGTCCCATACATGTGAGGATCACCATAAGGCACACAGAATTACCAGAGGTATATTTTCTTAGTTAAAAATTTTATTTTTAGGGCACCTGGGTGGCTCAGTTGGTTAAGCGACTGCCTTCGGCTCAGGTCATGGTCCCGGAGTCCTGGGATCGAGTCCCACATCGGGCTCCCGGCTCGGCGGGGAGCCTGCTTCTCCCTCTGACCCTCTCCCCTCTCATGCTGTTTCTCTCTCTCTCTC